TCAAGGGATCATTTTCTGGTAAACCGCAACATGCGCCGATCTTCTTATTTAAAATGAAGCGAGGAAGCACGCCGGTCGATCTGCAGCGCTGAAGAAACTTTAACGATTGCCGGTGGATACGATCTTTTGTCGAAGGGAGAGTGCTTCGCGCACTAGGGAGAACATTCTCGGCGGTATGTCTTCTAATAATCTCCAAGTTGTCCCTTCTTGTAACCTTGGCATGATGTCGAATATTGACTTATTTCTGCCAAACAAGGTCCACCGTGCAGAGCCTAGCTCACGTGTGTCAGTAGGGTAAGTAAGGACGAATGAGTCTCACTAGAGTCTCATCGTGTCACATAAGTCAAAATTGTCATTGTGCACGTCGCCCTTACTGTAGCTCGCACTCTGATACAAACGGCAAGAACTCATTAGTAATTGACGGACACTCGTTTCGGCCGTTCATCCTTGGTTTTCTCGCAAAAATCCAAAACGATTCCAGGGCTTTCCTGGAAGAATCTCTGTCTCGTACCCGAGTATAGTACACTTAACATCAAAGTCATTCCCGTTATGCTCCTCAATCTTATGCTTGCCAAGAGGGGTTGTCATCATATCACGCCTCTTTCCAGCTAGGTGTTCATTGATGCTATACAGTTTATAGATTTTTATAGTATAGTTTTACACAATTGGTCAAACTACCCTCGAGGACAAGTTTCTGACCAGATTGAGGTTCGGGCCCCAACGTCGAATTATCGGACAGCTAGTGAGTGTCGTAGGAGACAGATAGCGATCAATTCTATATTTGATTTGCCACATGTATGCTTGACGTACTCGCTCCGCTCCGCTGGGTCGTTTATCCAAAAGAGAGTCAAAAATTGAAGTTAAAACTCTTGTTAAAAACAAAGCAAAACATTCCACACCAACGGAGAGCGAACTCGCATTTTCAACCGTTGAAGCCTGACCATTACCACCATGGCACGGTGGCACTGCCAATCAAGCGTTCAACAATGCTCACATGCCAACGCTTATGCCAAACACTGACTACCAAGGACTTGTCTGGGAGATCCCTGCAGCTTTTTCAATCTGGGTCTTCTCTATCAGCATTTGAGACTCTGCCTATGTGCCGGGGTCTTTTCCCAATGTTCTATGAGAAGTGGAATCCATTCCATCGTGAGTGCATCTTTTGACACTGTCTAGCATACGCTCTTCTTTTAGAACAGTATCCGGAATCATTCAGTGTATTCGAGTGAATTATGCTTGCTCAAAATTCTTTGACTTGCTTTGCAGAAAATTCTGGAGCGGTACACCGCCAGGCTCTCACAACTTACTGGCAGTATTATTACGTGCTACCCTGTATTAAAATTTTTGGAGGTAGACACTATTTTTACTATCTTGCAGCAACTATTTCCTTCAATGTGTTCAAAATAGGTTGATTGTTGTGGAGGCCATCCCAAGCCTGTGGAAGACACGACCATCAATACACCAGCAATGGCCGCAGCAGTTGTCATCAAAGACTTCGTGCCAACATCACAAAACCATCTTCACCTAAAGGTGCATTATTTTGGATTGATCTTAAAGGTTTTAAGAAGCAAGTGGAAATGATAATTGGATGAAAATTGGAGCGAACTAGGTCGTACGTCATTTTAGCAGTAATGGCCATCGCCTCCGCTGGCGACCTTTTGATAAAATATTCTACACACAACATCCCACCAATGCAGTGGGCGTGGCTGCGTATTTCGCTTGAACATGGCGTAGGGCGAGATATTTCCATTCAATACAAGTGTTGTCCTATGTTGTATTGGGCAAAGACATGTTTGCAACTGTTCTGCAATATCCCTCAAAAGCGCAGCTGCTGCCGAGGTTGAATGCAACAACAGCCACGGACTCGTCATCTATGACTCATACTACTGCTACCAGATGACTAGTTCCTTCATTTCTAACGTTGTGAGGAAAACAATACTCGCTTGGGAATGGGCTCATCATTTGAGTTGAGTCCATTCATCCACCAGGGGTTGTGTTCCCCGTGATTTCCGCTTTTATCTGCAGAACGGAGGATTTCGCAACTCTAGGAAATTAGCAATGGACAGGAGGGGGCGTATTGAGACCCTATCTTGGGGGGGGGGCTTATTCAACAGAAATTTATCACAAGGCGATGGCGTGCCCTGCCTGTGAAATATGGAGTGTAGGTGTTCACCAATGGTGTACGTGCCTTTATCTCTAACTGACAACATATCAACGACTTTGCTTATTCTGTTCGCAAAATACGGCATTACTTGAAGAGCCACTTGGTGAGACCGGTTCAAGTTTGAGATACGACTTATTAATTTTGAGAATTTGTAATTTTGTAATTTGTGAAAATTTGTCGAGCACTTCGGACACCGGGAAAAACTTGCAAAGATGTGTAACGGGTTGGCTAATGAGACTGGAGGGACACACCCGTAAGCACGCGCAGAGGTGGGCTGGGCTAACATGAGAAATCTGAATGTTTTCCATTGATCATTGATAGTTCCGGATCTATTCGCGGCAAGGCGCGATTTTCGAAAACGGCTACGCTTATTCTTAGGCAGCGTTCATACTTCGCGACAGCAGCGGCGATCGCGGCGATCGCCGCGATCGTCGGTACGTGGCAGAGCGCGCCCCAACGCTATTATGGACTGCTCGCTTGATAAATAAGGGAATCCAACTTGTGAGACCTTCTTTTCTCTTAATAATGGCTACTAACTGATAACTTACGACTTTCTATACATAAGCGGATCTGGAATATGAGGTAATGAGGTTTCACTTCTTTTTAGGTCGGGATAAGGCCAACTCCATTGTTTTTATTGTTTCAATTTATGCAAGCGCCTTAAAGTTCCTATCGTCTGAACTATTCCAACTTCCAAAACATTTATAGTTTACAAGTCGAGTTCAAACAACGAAGAAAAAAAAGAAAAAGAAACTCACCTAGGAACCAAAACACTAATCATTTTACGCAACATCAACAGGTGAAAACTTTATAACCTCATGTATAAGCTCGACGAATGAAAAAAGAAACAATAAAAACCTACCCTAAATGAAGCTCTCACGCTTTTTGCTCATTTCTATCCTGAATCAAGAAAGAAAATAGAAAACAAAAGCCATTAAGTTGAGTTCACCTTTCTCAAACCAAGCTTCAGTATCTAAGAAAATTGCAGTTAAAGAAAAAAAGCATGAAATTGAGTCACTTCTCCAGAAGCATTGGGAGCGCAAGTAATAACGTTGGGGCGTCGGCCACGTACCGACGAGCGGCGATCGCCGCTGCTGTCGCGAAGTATGAACGCTGCCTTAGACCGGTGCGGTGGCGAGATTTCGAAAAGCGCACGCTACCGGGGGTAGGCACAGTCCTCGTGACAGTTTCTTCGTTGGATATCCTGTGGCTTGTGGTTTTTCCAGATTCGAGGAAAATGAAGACATGCAGGTGAGAAACAACACGTGTTCGGTACCATTCAACTACTGCTGCGGAAAGCAGGGTCGTGGAACAACGGGTTCGCTATCTATTGAGTGTGCCAAACGCATTCAAGCTCCTCCTTTCTAGGAAACTTCCCCCTTTGTGACGCCGTTGTTGAATTTTATTGTCACCTACGAGTTTTCCTGCTTTCAACTCTCATAACGTTCTCCGAATGAGAGATGTAGACCCGAGAACAGCGCTATGCGGCACGATATCATTTCCATTTTGTTTGAGGAATTTGTTATTCCTATAACATATGCTTTCATCGAAGTTATTAAGAAACAAATCATTTGGCATTGATTGGCATATCGTCTGTAATATAGCATGCATACGACCCACACACAGAGTTGTTGGAAAGATGTAAATTCTGGAAGGGGCTCCCTCCGTGGAAGCAGATGCTCTCCTATCGTTCAAAGAAGTATAAGCATGTACTTTCAATTGTTTATTAATTACGTCGTTGTGGGGCCGCCATCATACTCCGCGTTTCTGTTCGCTCCCCCACCTTTGAGCTTGCAATTGGTCTCTGTCGTCAGGTGTCTCTAGTTTTCTTATCAGCAAGAATCACGAATAACTCTTTTATCATTTAACCACTAAATAACATCTGAGTGTCGCTGCTCTTCCCACTTCTAGATGAGCACTGCGCTTGTGAGGGCACCCCCTCCCTACGTCGCGGTCAAATACACCCCCTGTTGTGATTTACATGATGATGACGCGCCGTGCTCGTGCACAGTTTGTCTTTAATATCTAATGTGGTCGACACTGGCTTGAATAATGTAAAGGGCTAAGACTGGGTGGGGTGGAGTCGTAGAAAACAAAACCATGCAGTCACGTCGCCTCGACCGATGCTAAATTGAAGCCATTTGTTCTCTCGTGGAGGGTTAAAGGCAATCCCCGCGACCACACTTCATAGGTAATACAGTTCAAAAATAGAATTGCCCTGTGGTTGTTGACTTATTGAAGAGAAGGAACCACGAAAAAGCGCCCGCAATAAGACCCTCTTTATTTCAATTGATCATGATCACCGGACGAGCGTAAGGTGGTCAAGATCGATTGTGGATTGCAAAAGGCGGCGATACACTGATAAGAGACGAGAGAGGCCAGAAAACGACGGGCGAGAGAGCGCAATGGCAGTCTCACAACGACACGGTCACTGGAGGCCGGCATGGGCCTATCGGGCGCCAATGGGCCTAAAACATGAGCGCCGTGCGTTCTGCTTGCTGTTTTTCAACTTTTAAAAGCAGCATATCCTCTACTGTTGCCTGCTTGATCATCATGCACGTTTATGAGGTTCTAGCCTTAGTTTATCGCGGAACGTGCCTTTAAGAGAGGGTAACAGACCATTCATCTCATACATAAGAGCAGAGTAGGCAGTTGTCTTCTTATCAGAGCAAGGGCTAGAGCCGGTGGTAAGTAGAATGATTCTACGTTCACAAACAGGGCACGTAATCAGTGGGGAAAATTTGAACCGTTCCCTGATCATAATATCTTCACGATTTATATCAGATTCTCTTATCTATCTTGTTTTGAGGTTGGTGACATTCTTTCGATTATTGAAATGAATTGCGATCAGAGTGAAGATGAATACTGGAAAGGAAAGTTGACTATGGCAAATAGGAAGGGACCGACTGATTCAGATGCCAGAATGCTTGAAGTGAGTTGCTCATTGGTAAGCTGTTGCTGTGCCAGCCAGTC